AGGCAACCCACTCACCTCAGCCGCCCAAAGGCGTGGGATTACAGGCTGAGCCACCGAGCCCAGCTGATACTGGCATTTTAATAAGGAAACTAAGGATAAGAAGAGTAACTTGTCAAGTTACATAAAGCCTGGAAAAGCCAAGATCAGAAGCCAGGTCTGACTTTAAAAAACATATAAAAAATAAAGAATCCAAATTGCAGAGTCTTCCTGAGACACTTCACAAATAGAGAATGTTTTTTGTTGTTATTGTAGAGACGAGGTCTCACAAGTTGCCCAGGCTGCTCTCGAATCCACAGGCTCAGGCAGTCCTTTCACCTCGGCCTCCCAAAGTGCTGGGATTACAGGCTGAGCCACCGAGCCCAGCCCAAATAGAGAATTTTAAGAACTATCTAGAGCTGGTTGGGCACCAGTGGCTCACACTTGCAATCCCAGGAATCTGGGAGGCCAAGACAAAGGGCTGTTTTAGCCTAAGAGTTCAAGATCAGCCTAAGCAACAAAGTGAGACCTTGTCTCTAAAAAAAAAAAAAAAAAAAAAAAAAAAAATCAGCCAGGTGTAGTGGTGTGCACCTGCAGTCCCAGTTACTTGGGACGCTGAAGCAGAAGGCTCATCTGAGCCCAGGAGGTCAAGACTGTGATGAGCCATGATCAAGCCACTGTGCTCCAGTCAGTGTGACAGAGTGAGGTTCTGACTAAAAAATAATAATAATAACAAAAAGAAAAAAAGAAAAAAAAATATCTAGAGCTTAAAACATATAGAGAAGCCGCAAACATATAGGAAATGAGATGAGAATGAACATTTCATTATCCTTAATCTCAACAGAAAACCAGTACTATTATCATCCTAGCAATTGAATTACCAGGGCTATATGTGGCAAAGAAAGAAATTATAGCATCTTTTTGGATTACAGAGGACAAAGTATTTGATGTGTCCCAGAGAAGGAAAGTTTCATATAAAAGATCATGTTTGAGATGTAAAAGATGAGAAAGAGTCTACTGACAGATAAGTTGAAGTAGGGAAGACAGTCCAGGAAGAAGAAATACTTAATGTGAAGGTAAGAAAATGTCTATCACTTTTATAAACTGAAAATAGTCAAGCGTATTAAAACATATGAAAGATTCCTATATTTCCATATGGTTCCCTCTCTCACTTCCATCAAGTCTCTGCTCAAATGTTACTTTATCAGAATCTTGCTCTGACCACCCTAGATAATGTCCCCTAACTCTAGTGTATATATTACCCTGTTTCAATTTTCTTCATAGCACTTATCATCATCAAGAATATATGTTTATTTGTTCATTATCTGCTCTATCTTTCCCTTCAACTAGAATCCAAGCTCTTTGAGAACAGAGCCTTCACCTTGTTCATTGCTATTATCCTCAATGTTTATACTAGTACCTGGCATACAGTAGGCTCTCAATAAGTACTTGTTAAAGGAAAAACTGTGTGATAGTAAAACTTGTGAAGAAAGTGCTTTGTATACCATATTAAGAAGTCTGGGCTTAATTCTATGTCTAATAAGCTACCCTTTAAGGATTTTAATAAATGATCACTAAACTCCTTTAATGAGATATGAATTCAAAAAGATCACTCTGATTTCAGAATAGAAGATGGACTAAAAAACAAGGTGGGGAGGTGGGTTTGGCATTTGAGGGCCACTGCCAGGGGAGGGAGGGACACACTTCATCAACAAGGGTACCTGCATAATGAACAATTGTATACCTAACCCTGAATTGTACCCCACATCTTTAAAATAAAGGAAAAACAAAACAAAACAAGGTAGAAGAATGGATTAGAGAACATGGTTTGGTGGAAGAATAAACAAAGAACAAAATAAAAGCTAAATGAAGAATAATTAGAAAGCCATTAATATACTTCAAATAATGTATGAGACACCTGAATTAAGGCAGTTTTAAAGAGAGATTAAAGAAAGGGAAAACAGGCTGGAAGCAGTGGCTCATGCCTGTAATCTCAGCATTTTGGGAGGCTGAGGTAGGAGGACTGCTTGAGGTCAAGAATTTGAGACCGCCCTGGGCAGCAAAGAAGGACCCCCAACTCCACAAAAAAATTTTTAAAAAAATTATCTGGGCATGGTGGCATGTACCTAGAGTCCCAACTACTCGAGAGGCTGAGATGGGAGGATTGCTTGAGTCCAGGAGTTTGAGATTACAGTGAGCTATGATGGCACCACTGCACTCCAGCCTGGGTGACAGAGTGAGACTCTGCCTCATTAAAAAAAAAAAAAAAAAGGTGATGGGGGGAGAGATAGTATGTTAAGAATGAATTTTTCCAAAGTTTACCTGGGAGTTGGAGTCTGGGAATCTTTCACTTTCAGTAAAATCACAGAGTCTGATCCTAAATGAAGAAACACAGCAGCATTTCATTATTAATAAAAGATTCCACACAGTTATACTTTCTAGATGTCTTAGTTTAAGTTTCCATACTTTGTCATATTCTATTTCCACAAAAATACCATAGCATAAGAACAAAAGTAAGATGAGAGAGAAAGGGTGATCCCTTCAGGTCCCCTCACTGTGGGAGCTTTTCTGTCCTCTCAATAAATCCTGCTTTCTAAAAAAAAAAAAAAAAAGATGGAAGAGAGAGGCAAGTCCATTTTCACTGAGACCAGAAGTAGTTCTTAGTGAAGCACTTGCTTCACAAATAAGAATGTCATTTGGAAATACGAGCATATTTGCCCTTCAGCATCCATTCCTGGACTGTGCTTGCTCCCTGTGCTTCCTCTTTGTTTCAGGGGAACAAGAGCATGTCAAGATTCCTTCCAGTAGTCCCTCTTTATCCATGGTTTTGCTTCCTGTGGTTTCAGTCACCTGTGGTCTACCATGGTCTGAAAATACTAAAGGGAAAATTCCAGAAATAAACAATTCATACATTTTAAATTGTGTGCCAGTGTGAGTAATTTGATACAATCTCATGCTATGTAGCTACATCTTGAATGTGAATCATCCCTTTGTCCAGCACATCCATGCTGTATACACCACCTGCCTCTCAGTCACTTAGTAGTCATCGTGGCTATCAGATCGACTATATTAATATAGCAGTGTTTGTGTCAGGTAACCCTTCTTTTACTTAATAATGGTCCCAAAATGTAAGAGTAATGATGCTGGCATTTCAGATATGCCAAAAAGAAGCTATAAAAAGTGCTTTCTTTTAAGTGAAAACGTGAAAGTTCTCAACTTAATAAAAGAAAAAAAATAGCCAGGTGCAGTGGCTCATGCTTGTAATCCCAGCACTTTGGGAGGTAGAGGTGAGAGGATTGCCTGAGTCCAGGGGTTCGAGACCTGCCTGGGCAACTTGGTGAGACCACATCTCTACAATAAATAAAAAAAAGTTGCCAGGTATGGTGGCGTGTGCCCATGGTTCCAGCTACTTAGAAGGCTGAGGCAGAAGGATCACCTGAGCCCAGCAGGTCAAAGCTGTGGTGGCCGTGAGCAGGCTACTGTACTCCAGCCTGGGTGACAGAGTGAGACGAGATTCCTACTCAAAAAAAAAAAAAAAAGAAAAAGAAAAAAATAACTTTTATTACAGTATAGTTATAACTGTTCTATTTTATTAGTTACTGTTGTGTTGTTAATGTCTTATTGTATCTAATTTATAAATGTATATATAAGAAAAAACATAATATATATAAGGCAGAGTATATATAGTGTACTATCCATGGTTTCCGGTAACCCCCTGGGTATCTTGGAAATTATGTCCTGTGGATTAAAAGGTGACTACAATATTTCATGATTTGCAATGAAACTGAATTAGGTGAAAGAAAGAAAGGGCGAGAGGAAGAAGGGGAAGTGGGAAGGGAATACAGAAAAAGAGTGTGGGAATCTAAAAAGTACAAATTGTATCACCCTATTATTTACTCTGTTGAATACTCCCAAAGTCAGGAATCATGTCTTTCTAAAGTGCTATAATTAGAACCTCAGAGTATATATTAAATGGAACAAAGAAAGTAATTAAACAGTGCAATGTAGTATATCTATTCCAGTTTTGTTGTATCTAAGTATCTGTCATACAATGTATGTTTCTGAGGTTAATGTGTTTTGGGTTTTTTTCTTTAAATTATGGTTCCCAGGAAATCATCTCACAAAATGTAATAAAATGACCATGGATTTGTGTAGCTGTATGATGATGCCACCAAAAAGTCTAATCCTCAAGTAAGAACTTTCAAAAACTGACAACTTAAAAAAAAAATGACCCAAGGAAGGGAGAGCCTCAGAGACTGGTGCCTCATCTATCAAAAGACCCCTAATGTCTAACCACTTAATCCAAAACTTGCTTTAAATTATATACCTAAGTACATACCCTAAATACATACATAAAGAAGAAGAAAACTCAAAAAAACCTTAATTAACTGGAATGGTAAGAACTAAATATTGTAGTTAGCTGAAAGGCAGAAAACTTTGTTTCCAAAACTTGCTAACGACCATTCTAAAATGCATAAACCTACTATACAGGTTTAGTAATTGGTATTAAATGGTAAGTACTCATACGTCAATATTTATCTGCTGTTTCAAAATTCCTGTAACTTCAGAAGTCTTAACTATCACTGCAAAGTAATAGAAACAGAGAAAGTGCTCAAGCAACTAAACTGAATATACTCTGACTGTATACTCAGGAAGTTGTTTAAATACAATATTACATAAAATCATTTGCATCTTGATGTTAAGAAAAAAGAGTATCTGGCCGGGCTCGGTGGCTCAGCCTGTAATCCCATACTTTGGGAGGCCGAGGTGAGTGGATTGCCTGAGCCCGCGGGTTCGAGACCCGCCTGGGCAACTTGGCGAGACCTCATCTTTACAATAAATCAAAAAATTAGCCGGGCATGGCAGTGCGCACCTGTAGTTCCAGCTACTTGGAAGGCTGAGGCTGAAGGATCGCCGGAACCCAGCAGGTCAAGGCTGCGGTGGCCGGGAGCGGCCACTGCACTCTAATCTGGGCAACAGAGTGAGATTCCAACTCAAAAAAAAAAAAAAAGAAAAGAAAAGAAAAAAAGAGTATCTTATTTGTATGTTTAGTTTACTCATAGTACAGTTAACTAAATTAGGGTACTCCTTATCCAAAATGCTTGGGACCAGAAGTGTTTCAAATTTTGAATGTTTTCAAATTTTGTACTATTAGCATCACACCAGTTGAGCATCTCAAAACTGAAAACCTGATATCTCAAACGTTCCAATCAGCATGTCCTTTCAATGTCACGGTGGCATTTAAAAAGTTACAGATTTTAGATTTCAGATATTCAGATTTGGGGTGTTGAACCTGTATATGCTAATTAATTTGTATACTATAATGTTGCCTGTAATTAAAAAAAATAGTTAATTGACTGGTAGGATTAAACAAATAGTTATATGATGCCATTTTTTACCTTCAGATTGTATATTTGAAGCTGGGAAGTTATCTGGCTGATGTGGAAGAGAGTGGTGATGGTGAGGTTGATGGGGAGAATCAGAATCTTTGGATCCAAATGCAACATCTGGGGTATAAGACGATAGGGGATATACACTGTGGGATGGCTGTTCCTGGGTAGTTAAAATGCTGGCAGATCCAGATGATGAAGTATCAGAGCCAATAATCTGAGATGCATAAGAGTTTCCATTTCTAAACAGTGAATCTTTCAAAGTATTTTTACTGGAACTAAGACATCGAGACCTAGCAAGAGAATATAGTTTTAATATCAAATAACAGATTGTAAAATAAAATTCATCTGAAATATGCTTCTGTGACTCACAGGTGTAAGGGAAAATGTGTGGTGGGTTTGGCTACAGAAAACTGTTTCCCTGTGACCATCTGTAGCAGCTGTCTGTAAATCTCTCTTTCTTCTTCTTGAACAGTCTAAAATAAGAAATAAAAAGTTTAAACAATCCAATAAGGCAAGTGATTCTCAAAGCAGCATCTAGTGAGGATCCCAGAAGCTCTGCCAAAGCTCAGGCACAGTCCTAAAGACAATTAAGAATTATGATACATTACGGGTATTCTAGAAAACTATCAAGTATGTGTAAGAGGAGTTGGGTGAATACCAGATAGTATATTTTGGAAAATTATGGCGCATATACGTAAATAATAGTGCAGAGAAGCCACAGGATATGAAACCAGAAGGCCAGTAGGCAATTACTTTTGAGTCAATGATAAAGAGTACCAGAAATAAAACATTTAAGGAACTCTAAATTAGGATTCCAACAAATCCCTTGATTCTTGATACCTGTTCACAAAATCACAAGGAAGTAACCAGAATAGGCAAGACCACTTAGATTGGGATATTTTGCAAACGTTTTCTTATTTTAACCTATTCTGCTCTAAGTGCAGGTATTTTCCAAAGATGGTTTTCATTGCCAACATTTATTTAACTTTTTTCCTGTAAGTCCAATACCATATTCAGAAAAAAACCACATACTCCATAACATTCATTCACTGATTTGAACACATCTATACTCCAGTCACTAAAGATTCTGCATCAAATAAAACAAAGTTCCTGCATTTGTGGCATTTACATTACAGATAAAAAAAAATTAACAAAAGCTAACTACAAACTAACTTCAGGTAGTATGAAGAAAATTAAAGGTAAGGGAAAAGAAAGTAATAGAGAGCGAACAACAGGAACAGTCAAGATTTCTCAAAAAAGGTGATATTTCAGCAGAAACCTAAAACCAAGGGAAAAAGTAAGTCATAGAAATATATAAAAGAATATCCTAGATAGAGGAACAGCAAATACAAAGCCCTGAGACAGAAATGTGCTTAAAGTTTTCCAAAAATAGTAAGATCTATGTGAATGAGAAGAGTAGGAAGAAATGAGGTCACTTGGCAGAGAACCACAGATTCCCTGACGCAATGGGTCATGTTCACTAAGTAATATGCCCCAGTAATTTAAAAAAATCTTATATACAGTTTAATACAACTGACAATCTTCACAAAATAATTTTAAACACTGAGTCAGGGTTAACAGCATCGTTTAGCTGTTAACCCTGACTCAGTGTTTCAATATGTGCATCAGCATTTTATTAAATCACAAATGTTTGTTAATAGCAGAATGGATTAGGCAATTAACTATACAAACCTTGTATAGTTAATTGACACAGAGTTTTTTCTTCGTGAACCCCCTTTTTTTTGCTATGCAGTAAATTACAATCACTGTCAGTATGTTACTGATCTACTAGAATACATTTGAATTGTGAGGCATGACAACTCCCTCTGAGAAAGAGCTACCCTTAAACTTGAATAACTAGTTGAGCATTTGGTGGAAGAATAGATTCAAGAGGAAAACAAACTTGCAGTGCTCTACAAGAAAAAAAAACCCCATTATTTTATCCCTTAGATATTAACACTGTACCTAAGATGATGGCAGTTTCCTTTTCCAGTGTTTATAAAAAAACATTGTCTGCAGTATGGGCACTTCAATGACAGCACAAAAATAATGATTAGAAAAAGACAATTGGTCACCACTTTACTAAATTCTGGTCTGGCTATATGGCTCTTTGAATTATGGTTACCATGTTTTCCTAGCTTTAGCCCTCTCCACTACCTTGGAGAGGTGAATCTCTTCTCTCTTTCTCTCCAATTTCTAAATAAACTATATTTTCCAAACTAAAAAGAAAAAGACAATTACCAGGTATAAATTAATATCAATAACCAAATCTATTATTTATTGACTATTCTACTGAAGAGGATATGGCTATTTCAGAAACAACTTTAAACCATAATTAAAATAAATGCCTCTTCATTATTTTCAATCTAAAATTGACAGTATAATGATTAAGTAGACAGCAGAATAAAGCCTCATTACAAATTACTGGATTGTAAGAGAGATTTGTCAACCAACTCCATCGTGATCTACATACAAAAAAGCTTGTGCTATCTGGCACTTTACTGACCAGGATTTTTAAATGCTCCCCAATATACATCTTGACTCGATTCTTTTACCACACCAAATAACCTAATCACAATACAACAAGACTAACAATAGGTTATTTTTAAGGATGGTAAAATGACAGAAGGAAAGGGAAATCAGACCATCTGAACCCTAGAAACTAACTCTTTTTTTTTTTTTTTTTTTTTTTGAGTTGGAGTCTCACTCGGTTGCCCAGACTGGAGTGCAGTGGCACGCTCCTGGCCACCGCAGACTCAACCGGCTAGGCTTTGGCAATTCTTCCGCCTCAGTCTTCCAAGTAGCCGGAACTACAGGCACGCACTACCATGCCCGGCTAGTTTTTGATTTATTGTAGAGACAAGGTCTCACCAAGTTGCCCAGTTGGGTCTCGAACCCGTGGGCTCAGGCAATCCACTCGCCTCAGCCTCCCAAAGTGCTGGGATTACAGGCTGAGCCACCAAGCCCGGCAGAAACGAACTCTTGGTTAACAAACCATTTTAATTCATTTTCACTGTCCCACCAGACTGGATTAAAAAAAAAGTTCTGACTATAGTTCTACATCACAGAGATGAAAGCAAAGCAAAACTAGTGTAAGAGGTTACTTTGGCCTTTACTTACTTTGCATAGTACCACTTGGTACCAAGGAATGTTAAAAAAAATCATTTCTATCAAATACAGACCTCAAGAGAACACTGATAAAAGTGAGAATATTTGGGCTTTGCTAAATTCATCAACCACAAAAAGTTTTAAAAAATCTCTCCTTCCACATATCACACAGCAAAATGTTTTCTTAGAATAAATTTTCATACTCATAATGCCAGGCGCCGTGGCTCATGCCTGTAATCCCAGCAATTGGAAGGCCAAGGCAGTTGGATTGCTTGAGCCCAGGAGTTTGAGACCAGCCTGGGCAACATAACAAGACCTGGTCTACACACACACACATACACACACACACACACAAAGAAAACAAAGACAATTAGATGAGTGTGGTAGCAGGTGCTACTCTGGAAGCTGAGGTGGAAAGATAGTAGCCTGGGCCCAGAAGGTAGAGGTTGCAGTGAGACATGATTATGCCACTGCACTCCAGCCTGGGTGGACAGAGGGAGACTCCACTCAAAAAGAAAAAAAAAAATGAATGAACTTCCAGACTCATAAATAACACACGAAGAACCAAAATGGCCATAAAGTACAAGAAATCTAGATTAATACATTGTAAATCACTGGTTAAAAAGCTAATTTAACACACATAAGTCCCCCACAAATCATTTTCCTAATAAATATATCTTCAAAGAAGAGCTTCTGAGTCTAACAATCTCACAGTCATTACACAACATAAAATGAACAGAAATAAATTATCCATAATCCAAATAATTATTTGAGGTCTCTTTAAGACTCATACTTTCAGTTTAAAGTAATTTATGGCTTTAAAAGATGAACGTTAAGAGTGTTTCACTAACCTACAAGTTAATTTGGAGGTCACAAGAATTTTTTTTTAATGACAGGAGGTACTTTCCTTGAGTTTCATTAAAAACAAACAAACAAACAAACAAACAAACAAACAAACAGGCTGTGCGTAGTGTCTCCTATCTATAATCCTAGCATTCTGGGAGGCCAAGGCAGGAGGACCGCTTGAGGCCAGTATAAGACCAGCTTGGCAATATAGTGAGGCCTCCTATTTTTTTTTTTTTTTTGAGTTGGAGTCTCACTCTGTCACCCAGACTGGAGTGCAGTGGCCGCTCCCGGCCACCGCAGCCCGACCTGCAGGGCTCTGGCGATCCTAAGGCCTCCTTTTTCACAAAAATAAAAAGTATCCAAAAAGTATCCAAGAATGGTGGTACATGCCTGTAGTCTTAGCTACTCAGGAGGCTGAGGTGGAAGAATCGCTTGAGCCCAGGATATGAGGTTACAGTGAGCTATGACTGTGCCACCTACACTCTAGCCTGGGCAAAAGTGAGACTATCTCAAAAAAATAAAAAACAAGAAAAAATTTAGATATGTTATATTCCATTTAAAAACATTTCAAACAATGAAAAATAGTACAGGTAACTCTTTAAAATTATAAATTGACAATTTATAATTGTATAAATTTATGAGGTCTAAAGCAATGTCAAAACTTGTTAATACAATATGGAATAATTAAATCAAGGTAGTTAACATATCCATCGCCTAAAATACTTTATATTTTTTTGTGCTGAGAACACTTTAAATTTGCTCTCTTAGCCATTTTACTTATTTATTTATTTTTCTCGAGTTGGAGTCTCACTCTGTCACCCAGGCTGGAGTGCAGTATCACTGTCTCGGTCACCGCAGTATTGACTGGCTGGGCACAGGCGATCCTTCCACCTCAGTCTTCTAAGTAGCTAGAACCACAGGCGTGTGTCACCTGGCTAATTTTTGATTTACTGTAGAGACGAGGTCTCATCATGTTGCCCAAGCTGGTCTCAAACCTGCAGGCTCAGGCAATCCTCTCGCCTCTGCCTCCCAAAGTGGTGGGATTACAGGCGTGAGCCATCATGCCCAGCTCTAGCAATTTTAAAATGTATGATATTAATTATATTTACAAGATAACTACAAAAATAACCTATATTCCTTCCGAAATTATGTACCCTTTGACCATCATCTCCCCATTCTCTGTACCACCCCACCCCCTGCCCAACTCTGTAACCAACATTCTACTCTCTGCTTCCAGTTTGGTTGTTTTAGATTCCACACGTGAGAACATACAGTATTTGTACTTGTTCGTGACTTGTTTCATTGAACATAATGTACTCCAATTCTATCCATGTTTCCAACCTTTCCAAGGCTGAACAGTATTCTACTGTACATATATTCCACATTTTTTGGCTTTTTTTGTTTTTGAATCAGGGTCTTACTCTGTTGCCCAGGCTGGAATGCACTGGCATGATCACGGCTACTACAGCCTTGAACTCCTGGACTCAGGTAGCCTGAGTAGCTGGGACTACAGGTATGC